ACTGGATCTCCTGCCAGCCCTGTCCTGGAGCATTCATTCATTTCTGTTTTGTGCCGCTGCTAAGCCAGGTGTTGGGGATCGCAGTCGTGCACAAGATGGGGAGTCCCTGGCATCCCTTGCTCGCCCCTTCCTCTGCTTCTTCTCTGTAGACCTGGATTGTTTCTCCAGCGCTCGCCTGCTGGCACCCTCAGGCATATGAGGGCTGGGACTTTTGTACCCTGGTGTATGACAGTGCTTAGAGCTATGTCTGCACCTCGTAAATGTCCAGAATGTGTTGCTGAAGCAATGAATTCCTGCCCTCACAGACTGTGACCCCAGATCTGGCAGGTCATCCTTTAAAATGAATGATAATACCATCTTAGGCTTTGACAGAACCTGAAGTTTATGAAACTGTTTCGTCTACACAATGTCATGTGTTCCTTAGAATAATTCTGTGAGACAGGCGGGGTGAGGTTATTACTACTTTTTTTTTTTTGAGTTGGAGTCTCATTCTGTCACCCAGGCTGGAGTGCAGTGGCACACTCACGGCCACCCCAGCCAGCATCGACCTGCTGGGCTCCGGCGATCCTTCCGCCTCAGCCTCCCAAATAGCCGGAGCTATAGGCACGCACTACCATGCCAGGCTAATTTTTTATTTATTGTAGAGACAAGGTCTTACCAAGTTGTCCGTGCTGGTCTCAAACCCGCGGGCTCAGCCAATCCACCTGCCTCGGCCTCCCAAAGTGCTGGGATGACTGGCTGAGCCAGCGAGCCTGGCCATGACTACATTTTACAAATGCGGGAACTGAGACTCAGAGAAGGTAAGGCCACACAGCTGGTCAGTGGCAGAGCTGGGCTTCAAGCTCAGGCTGGTTTTCCTTCTCTGCCAGAAGGTCAAGAAAGGGCAGGAAGGGTTCTTGTAAGAGGAAGGAGGGTAGTTGACATGGTGTTTGGGAGAAGTGAAAGAGAGAAATGACCAAATATAGGTGAGGAGGGACAAGGAATGGCAGGGGCCCCACTTCTGTTCCGGGGATTTCCTGGCCAACTGTACCTTCAACCTTGGGAGATAAGGAGGAAATGTACCAGGGCTGGCCATGTGGCCCAGCCTCCCCTCCTGCCCACACACATCTACTGGGCACCTAATAAGTGCTAGGTGCTGTGCTGGTCGCCATGGGACAGCCTGGGGGAAGAGGCTTGCCCTGCCTGGGGAAGCTTACAGTCTGGAGGGGGCGGAGCCGATGGAGAGGTCCATGAGTCAGATGCGGCTTCTCATGGTCAAATACAGGCAACGGTGGAATTGCCTAGACCGTGGACACTGCATGGTCTCAGGTGGTCAAGGATGGCTTCCCGGAGGAAGTGGACTGCTAAGCAAAGGCCTGCACATCCATGAGGACTTGAGAGGAAACAGAAGGGAAAAAGCATTCCGGGCATAAAGGCAGGAAGACCAGGAAGCAGACGGCAGGGCACATTTGTGGACACAGAAGTCATTCTGTAAAGCCGAAGGGGAGTGAGGTGGGGGTGAGATGGGACCAGCTAGGGAAGCGGGAGTGGGGATGTGGTGTGGGAAGGGGCTTGGGGTTCATTCAGAGAAGGGGGCGGGCGGAGGTGAATGTGGGCATGGGTCGTTTTGGTTTTTTGAAAGTGAGAAAGCAGGATTTAAAAGATAAAAAAAATTAATTAATTAATTTTAAAAAATTTAAAAAAAGAAAAAGAAGTCAATCAAAAAGTTAAAAAATGTAGAACTAGAGAGAAAGTAGGATTTATGGAGAAGACAAGAAAGGCTCCCACAGTGGGAGGGGACCCGAAGGGGCTGCCCGGGTGGGGGGTTTTAAGCAGTGCTGTGACGTGGTCAGACCCCTCTGGTTGGAGGGTAGCTCGGAGAGCCAGGCTGAAGGAGCGAACTAGAGAAGAGGGCGCCAGGAACTCAGCAGATGAGCGCCAGGGATGATGCCTGGGGCAGACTAGGGAGTTATTTGGGAAAGAAAAAACCCTGATGAGCCGGGCTCGGTGGCTCAGTCTGTCATCCCAGCGCTTTGGGAGGCTGCGGTGATTGGATTGCCTGAGCCCGCGGGTTCGAGACCCACCTGGGCAACTTGGCGAGACCTCCTCTCTACAAGAAGTCAAAAATCGCCGGGCTCGGCGGCTCAGCCTGTCATCCCGTGCCTTTGGGAGGCTGAGGTGAGTGGATTGCCTGAGCCCGCGGGTTCGAGACCCGCCTGGGCAACTTGGCGAGACCTCCTCTCTACAAGAAATCACAAAATTAGCCTGGCGTGGTAGCACTCGCCTGTAGTTCCAGCTACTTGGAAGGCTGAGGCGGAAGGATCGCCAGAGCCCAGCAGGTCGAGCGGCCACTGCACTCCAGTCTGGGTGACAGAGTGAGACTCCAACTCAAACAAAAAAGAAAAGAAAAAAACCCTGGTGACTGCTGGTGGGAAGAAGGGAGAGGGAGGATGCACGCTCGCCTCCCAGGTCTGTGATGTCCCCCCACACAGACAAAGAGAGCTCGCGGAAGGATCAGGAGTGGCAGATGGAACAGGAGCTGTCTGTGGGACCAGCAGTTGGGAAAGGGAGGCCGGAGACCAAGGGCAGCAACAGTGCTCCGGGCGAGAGACGTGGTGTGGTCTACATGGGTGGCCACCGAAGCCACCGGAGTGGAGACGACCAACCCAGGAGGGTCTGCAGAGATAAGGGAAGACACTGATGGTGACCCCAAGGAGCACCAGGGTTCAAGGTTTGAGAACCACAGGGAACCCCAAAAAGGGAACAGAAAGAATCAACAGAGGGAGCAGGCGTCCTGGCTGAGAGCAGCCTCCGGGAAATCAGAGGACCAGAGCCCTGAAGGACGGGAGCACGTGTGTGAACAGTTTGAGGACTGTAAATAGTCTGTTGACTGTAGCAGTGAGCACTGATTATCTTGGCAAGAGCAGGTTTAGGAGGATGTGGAAGGAGGAAGCTAGTTTCAGGGTGAGGAAACGGAGTCCACGTTTTATTAGTGGAAGGGCTTCCCAGAAGAAAAGGAAACAGGCCTGTCTGTCCTCTCTGGCTAGAAGTTTGGGTCCACATTTTGGGTTTGGCTGATTTGTGATTCTAAGGCTCTTCTCTGTGCTACAACACAGACATCAATGACATTCCTTTACCTGCTCCTTTCAGGTGTTCGTTTCCTCCTGTTTACGGAGATCTTGAGATGATTGATGGATGTATTGACTTGCATTATTTAGTTCCTGGACTAGGTGATGGGAAGAAATGAGTCCCAGCTCTGCCTGGGGAAGGTGACCAGTGGAACAGCCTTTTTGGGTCGCTGTGAGAAGTTATGGAGCCTCGTTACCTAAGGGTTCTGGTTGGTTTCCCTAAGGCTAGGTCATATGTGGGGCCAGGGCAGCCCAGGAGAGGTGCATTTACCCCAAATCTGGGTTGGATCCAAGCCCACCAGGGATGAAGTCAGGTGTTTATAGGCCTAGAATTAGCCTCCCTTGGGGCCAGCATTTTTGTGATGACTCTTGATTAAATGCCTACTAATTCTGGATCTGCCGGTGACCAGAGGGTTTATCTGATGGGTTCCTTATTGGCCTCCTGCATGGTGACTTCTGGGTGACTGTAATCACGATTAGCAACTCTCTCAATGTCGTGAAGAGAGACGACACCAAGATCCTCTTCAGCCTGGACAATTCCAGCTGTCAGTGTGGAAGATTCTTGAATAATCTAACCTAGTTTTGGAGTCAAGGGCACCTGGGTAGCTCTGGTCCCCATCATGGTCCCACTGGGGTTGCTTGGGACTCCAAGGCGCTGAGAGGGTGAAGACCCCGGCTGCTCAGGGGTCCATGGCCTGTCGCCTGCAGGAGGAGCTGGCAGTCCTCATCTCCAACCTGAAGCAGGAGCAGAAGAAGGTGGATGAACATATCGCCAAACTGGCGAACAATAGGACCCGGATTGTCGTGAGTGCCCTGTCCTGTCCCTCTGCCCACTCGCCTGGGGCTGGTCCCCTGCACTTCCCAGCAGAGCCCAGCCCCTGTTGGTCCTTTCCAGAGCACCAGGCCTTCCATATAAAGCCAGAATTCAAAGCATTCCAGGGCCGGGTGGGGAAAGTGCAAATCCTCCTAGGGAAATTCAACCCAGTTGTCGGACTGGCTCCAAGTTGGCTTTTGTCCTCCATGTCCTTGGGAGATAACCCAGAACTTAAGTCCCAGAGGTAAACAGCCCAAAGAACAGGCATGGCTCTCCCCGTCCCCAGGGCCACCTGTTTCTGCTTGACCTTGACAGTAGCCTGCTGCGGTGCCCTCCCAGGACCTGGGCCCGCTGCCCTCAGCACTGATCTCCCTGAATGAGACGCACACTGGGGCTGGGAAGTAGGGTGCCCGGCTGATATCCCTACTCACCCTTGAGAGGGAGGCGGTATCTCCCCTGTCTAAAGGAGGCACAGAGTCCGTCCCCCAGGGAATTCTGGGCCCTCTCACTCCAAATCCTGCTCTCCCAGGGCTTTTCAGATCTCTTTTCACTGTGGAACCCTGTGATAAAATGTAATCTTTTTTTCTTTGTTTGTTTGTTTGTTTTTGAGTTGGAATCTCACTGTCGCCCAGACTGGAATGCAGTGGCTGCTCCTGGCCACCGCAGCCTCGACCTGCTGGGCTCCGGCGATTCTTCCGCCTCAGCCTTCCAAGTGGCTGGAACTACAGGCGCGCGCTACCACACCCGGCTGATTTTTTGATTTATTGTAGAGATGAGGTCTCGCTGCCCACGCGGGTCTCGAACCCGCGGGCTCAGGCCATCCACTCACCTCGGCCTCCCAAAGGCGCGGGATTACAGGCTGAGCCACTGAGCCCGGCTAAAATGTAATCTTATGTGCATAGGTGAAAGCAAAGCCACTCCATTTGCAACGGGAGCTGGGGGTCCACCCCCCCACACACAAAGGTCACCCTCCCCCATGGCCCTCTAAGACTCCCAAGCACAGTGTGAACTCCCTGGCAGGCGTCAGCTGGCCCGGTCAGGAGAGCCCAGGAAGGCCCTGGTGACACTGAGACCAGGCAGGGCTAGGCAGCTCGGCTGTGACTTCACTGTGAAGGTCCTCTCTGTCCCAGAACGAGTCTGATGTCTTCAGCTGGGTGATCCGCCGCGAGTTCCAGGAGCTGCACCACCTGGTGGACGAGGAGAAAGCTCGCTGCCTGGAGGGATTGGAGGGTCACACGCGCGGCCTGGTGGCCTCCCTGGACATGCAGCTGGAGCAGGCCCAGGGGACCCGGGAGCGGCTGACCCAGGCAGAGCGTGTGCTGGAGCAGTTTGGTGACGAGAGTCACCACGAGTTCATCCGGGTGAGTGGCCAAGGGAATGTCCTGAGGCATCTAGAGTTTTCCTCTTCCGAGCAGCCCCCACACCTTAACCCACCTCTCTCTTGCCTTCCAGAAGTTCCACTCCAGGGCCTCCAGGTAATAACCCTGCAGGGCACTGCGGGGGGAAGTCTCCGCCGAGGCCTGTGGCTGCTGGCACGGGCATCCCGTCCCCACCGGTGCCTCCGCTGGGTTGAACCAGCGCCTCTGGGGCAGCAGCCCAGGGAACACAGAGGAAAGTGTTGTCCTCGCCTTCAGGGGCCTCACAGACTGGCGGGGAGGCAGATGGTGAACTATGGTAACGTCACGGTGGGCACCTAGAACAATAGGAGTTCGCTCAGGCGACAAGAAATATTGGAGGAGCCGGGCTCGGTGGCTCAGCCTGTCATCCCGCGCCTTTGGGAGGCTGAGGTGAGTGGATGGCCA